AAATCTGCACCATTCCGCGAATGTCATGCCAAAATCCTCTCATGTTCGGTCCCCCGCTTTACAAAGACGGAAATATGCAGGTAAAAGGCGAATTATTATAAAAAATACACGCTTAGCCCGAATTTCGGGTTTCGTTAATTTAAAAAAGGACCCCAAAGAGACCTCAAACCCTTTGTGAGGGATCTCGAATTCTTGAAATTTAACTGCAACCCTTTTACCGTCAAAGGCCATACGGGCTCCTATCGGTGTCCTATAGCTCGAGAGTTCGGTCTTCGCATTATTAAGCTGTCCGTACACGCGACATCGTCTAAAGGTTAATGTCATTGCGTTTAAAACGAGCAGTACTCGGGGTTTGATGAATATATGACTATCGTATACTGTCGCGTTATGGACAACATAAGTGTACGTGCAAGCCATGTTAGGTTTGTCGTTATTTTTCTCGCTTCATGACGGGAGACAGATACGGGCGCGGACGGCGACCTTTAGCTAATCGGAGCCGAACGAAACGAAGGCACAAACTTCGCAAAAAGCGAGGTATTTGTACATAAACGATATTCATTGACAATACGGGTCGAGTCCCTTTGTCTTTGTTAATTAAGGATGCGCAACGATTGGCTGAACTCCGTTCAGGAGTTCTCAACAAATCGATGCAAATAGGTCCTCTACTTTGGATATTTCATAAAACAAAATTCCATCGGGATTGTAAAAGCAAATTAAATTTCAAACTTCCGATAGACTAGAGGAAAATGATATTATTTCTCATTAATTAATCATGGATTGAAAAATTGTGAACTAGACTGGATAACTTTTCAAAATTTTTAATGGTAAACAGTGACTTTTATAAATATTGTTTAATTTGGTGAATGCTGATGTACCTTCTTCTTGAACATTGGTTAACTGACAGTCTAAGTGGGCCATTTTTCGTAAAATGAAGTCGTCAAATCAAAAAGGTGTACTCAGTGTATAGCGTATACCATCAAGATAAAAAAAATAATGGCCTAGCTCTTAATATATGTATTTATGTATGTTATGTATATGTATTTATATATGTTGATGAATTGATATATCTTAATTTAATAAGAATATAAATTACATGTGTTGGATAAAAATTTTTGTGCAGGAATTGGTTAAATGTGGACATATATTTTCTCTCATAAGTTCCTCTGTGTTCTTAGGCAAGTGCTAAATAGATTATTTAGTTATTTAGTTATTTTTTATATTTTTCAATGTTTGTGTGACTGTGGGATATTGTTAATGGCGAGTCATTTTACCATCACAAAGACTGATATTATTTGCTTGAAAATTCGAAGAAAATTTTAAAACTTCTAAATAAAAACGCAGAGTCGTGCTGTCGTTTCGATCGATGGAGCTCTCGAACATTTTGGTCATCCCTGGACTGCGATTAGGTAGGCAGAAGACCGCGGAAAGGACAAAATAAGTTCCGTGGACCGTTAAGCAGCCGGACAGTGGTCGTCCTGATGCGGGTTCCCAATTATTGCGCTCGGGTCCAAACTAAAGTAAACCTCCCCCTTCCCATTGAAGGGGTTCGATTACAGACTGACGGCCTTCCAAACGAGTGCGATTGTAAAAAATATTTAAAGAAATATATTGAAAATTGACCATTTTTAAGTTCAATCGACTGAGCTGAACTTGACTGACTGAATTTAAAGGTGAAAAACGAGTTTAAGACGCGAGATATATTCGCGACTAGACCAAGCGCCTGTTCGAACCAGAAAATAGTGTTTTAAGTTGACATACGGAAGTTTGATGCAGTACGATAAGTAGCGGAAAAGCAAATTTTGACTGAAATTGGATCGAAATGTACAAGAAAAAGCTCTTCGAACCAAAAAAAGATGTTTTTAATAGATATCTACTAGTGTGTTGATGTTTTTCTAATAATGTGTGATGCAAAAGTAATTGCTTTTTTGACGATATGTAACTTATACCTGAATAATGTGTTCCCGCCTCTTAATGTTTTATAAACAAAACCACACTTATAATTTTATAAATTTAATGCTTCCCGTATACCTATTTCAGTATCCTGAGGATGTCAACATACAAACCTCATTGATCCTTATTTGGCCCTTTTAAACACAGCTTTATATATTCAGATAAGAACTTACGTTTATTAATTGGCAGTAAAGGTGTGGCAGCAACGCGGCGTTTGGAGGGGAGGTTACTTTTCGCCGCAATCATCGTAAACATTTATCGTTCGCTAATTTTTCTCGCGACCCCGGAAAACGCGAAAACTTCCAAAACAATTTCGCCGAACTACCTTCGAGGACAATAAAAACGCGCGTTTATTAACGTCCCCCCGGTCCCTCGTTCCGGTAACACCTTATTTTCGACGAGCGCGCAGGGTCGGCGTCAGCCTTTAAGCTCCTCGTCGCCGCGTAATTAACGCAACAAACAAAGGCGGCGGCGGGACAAAGTGTGGAGCATATTTCAGTGTCTTGGAAAAACTCCTTCGGAGCTCGAGACGCTCGCTCATATACACACACACACACCTAAAGATACAGAGGGAAACTTTGGGGGCAGCCATCTATCATTTTCACGCAACAATTAGGATCCGGCTAGGATTTACCTATTTGGCGATAATTAGTCCGGCCGAAACGTCTTTGATGCCGTCGAAAGATGGCCGCATTTGCTTTTGGACCGCGGAAACGGTGAGGGTGTAAGGGGGAAACGCGCAGGGACGGACTATGCTACGCGAGGTAACAGGATTTATATTTAAACAATCAATAAATTCAATTTAATTTTAATTATTCCAATTAAGAAATTAATTGCATCTCTTGACTATATTAACTAATTATACTTTATAAACTATCGAGTTAATGAAATGTGTTGAGATAAATAATTAATATAAACTTAATTAATTATTTTTTGTTAAATAATTAAATATTATTCAGCGAAATGTAAGAAATAGTGAATTTCACAATAAAATCGGGCGCTTCCAATACTTTAGTCAAGTGTTTGGGAGCGATTTGTTGTTTTCGTCAGGCTTTGGACACGGATAGTATTTTGAATTTTGTCATTCCTTGCGTCAGACGTCACTCAGTAAATACACTGGCGTTTCGCTCCGCCTGTGTTTAGGCGTCTCCACGAAGCAAATTTAAAAAAAAAATCAAAAAATAGGAATATTCTAGTTGCAATTTCAGCATAAAGAAAGCCACGACATAAAAAATGGCGAAATTAATTATTGAAATATAAAAAATGTAGGCAACATTTCTCAACTTTAAGGGATGATTCTTTGACTAACTTTAAGGAAAGTTTGTGCAGGGTGTTATTATTTTCATAATTACTACTAAATCTATAATAGATAATACTAGGAGCAAATATACAAAACACCTTCTTATTTTCAAGAAGTAACTTATTTCACAAAAAATAAGGAAAAGATATATTTTATTAAACATATGGTTAAATATCTAATTTGTAACTGTAAAACACCCCGGCAATAGTAACATTGTGCCAGTCCATCAAGATATTTGTAGCATTTTAAAATAAAAACAATCCTGAATCCCTCGATTAAACATCAATTGAAATCGATGTAGTTTGCAAAAAAAAACCCAACCCACAAGATAACAACAACACACATAAAGGGTATTATTTATTATTTTTGTACCAGAACCATGTACTAGAGAAATAGACTGTGTTTATCGAAATTAACATGTAATATTTGTCGCATATGTTAATATCATCCGGTAACGTTGGGTAATTTGATAGGTCATCCGTTGGCCCGAAAAAGGTTATCAAAAAATTACCTTTTTTTTTCAATTTGGGCCGAACAAACCATGAATTCAGCATCAGGACGGGGTCCGCATTCGCTAATTGTGTTTGTCAATGTATTGGTTTATTTTAATAGTCTCCTTATAGTTGTCGGTGTGCTTGTTTTGCTTATGTACCTTAGGTGGTGAATCATTTGTTTACCACAGATGTCAATTATCATCTTATCTGCCCCTTCAAAATTTGACGACACCACATGAAAAAAAATTTAAAAGATAATTTTGAAAAGAGTTCGTAACTGGCATCCTCATGATAGTCTAATCTAGAATCCTTAATATTCTTCGCGGACAACAGCAAGCATTTTGGAAAAAATCATTTTTCTAGTCCAAAGGTATTTATGGTGATACTGGAATCAGCCCATCTTTTGTATAGTGTATCCAGTCTATATAAGTAAATGATTTGTTTTTGTATCTATATTTTTTAATTTCCTGAAGGTAATTAAACTTCCAAATGGTTTCTGCTCTATTTTGGAAGGTGTCACGGCTAATAATTATATTGGTTTCAACGTCCTCTAGTTTCATCTTCAGGAACAATTTGGTTTTAGTGAAGGGATACATTTTCCTTCTTATCATACCCTGGTCACCGTCATCCGGACAGTGAAACTGAAAACCTTTACGTTTTTCCTTTGGTTTCTTTGGACATTTAAAACTAGTCATATACTCGTAAGGCAGCAGAGTGGTGATTTTTGGTTGGTATTGGTTTGTTTGGGTTTTGACAGGCTTGCTAATGACAGACGTCATAAACATTGACCTACGCCATATTTGTAATGGCTTGTATTAATAGATTCCGATGTATTTTGTTTACGTACATAGGTCGGTAGGTAGTGAATTATATGTTTATGAATTATCATCTTATCAGCTCCTCCAAAAGTTGACGACACTCCATAACTGGACAGGTTAAGTCACGATATCTTTTACCGTCGGTAAAGTAGATTTGGTCAAGATTTTCCATTCTATTATACAATATTTGTTTATGAAAATTAGTTTTACTTCGCAATTTCCTCGGACACCACGTTTTCCTTGATAACTCAGATGCACACAAAGGGAAACCAATACGACAACGATTATCGGATGCAAGCATATTTGCATATAAAACAAATTTTAAACAGTGGACCGGATTATAGAGAAAAGTTTAAGATTTAAGATTTCGGTTACTATCAGCTCCAACTGATATATAAGTGACACTTTGCGTAAGTGTGGCTAGATTAGCCTTGAGCTTCGTGTAATGCACACGCCTACGGACTTAAACGACGCTAGACTCGACTCGTGGGTGCGCCGGGCGCTCCAACATCGTGACGTAGTAAAATTCAGTACCAGCGTGGTCGGTAGTTCGGATCCGGGCGATGGATTCTCCGGTAAATTATACTTCGTCGACGTATCGGCAACGACAGTAAAGTCCGAGACCCACGAGTACAGTTTCGCAATCAAAACCTCCACAAACCTCGACAAGAAGGACAAGTTCTATGGTATGATCTTCCGTAGAGAAACGTTCGTCTACAAGGTGGTGGTACCTGCGTTTCGTGATCTATTCGAACCGAAATTCGATTTCTGGCCTGAGTGTTACGCGAGCATAGAAGGAGAGAAGGTATTGATACTGGAAAACTTGAAGAAGGTGGGTTACGTATTACACAACAAAACGAAACCGATGCCTCTAGACCATATGCTACTGGTGATGGAAGCCTACGGACACTGGCACGGGCTATCGTTCCTACTTAAAAAACTCCACCCCGAAAAATATCGAAAAATTGCCGACGTGCTGAAGGACGAGGTTTTTCTTGGGACTTTGCAGCGAGTGTGGAAAAATGAAACCTGCATGAAAATCATACAGTACTCGAACCGCGTTCTCGATGATGCTCTGAAAGATGCGCAGCTGCTACGAAAGTTGAAGGACAAGTTAGCGTCGGTGCCTGGTAGTATAAACACTTACCTCTCTGAGGAGGTACCAGATGAACCTTATGTGGTGGTCAATCACGGCGATTGTTGGACTAACAATTTTATGTTTTCATACGAGGTAAGCACAGGGTTCATCTTAACTCACGCTACACGTAAGGAAGGTTTTTCGAAACGCACTGGCCCTTGGCCAACATCTACCTGACTCGCCTCTCTCTTATCCCTTATTTACGAATAAATTATTGGTTTTTGGGTTTATCCAGTGCGTAATTACATTTTGTGGGAAACACATTATACATGCTTTCTCGTTCCAGGGAGAGGACACAAGCGTACCAACGAAAGTCGCCATGTTGGATTTCCAGGTAGCGATATTACACTCTCCGGTTAGAGACTTGGTTCATTTTATCTATTGCTCTATATCCGAAGAACAATTGCCGAATGCTAGGCGGTTCTTCGAAGCGTACTATCAATCGCTGTCGGATATTTTAAAGCGATCCGGTTGCGATCCGGAAGAAATATTCTCATTTTCTGTACTGGCGGATCACTGGAAGAAGTACAGCCATTACGGGGTACAGTTGGGGGTCCTATCTCTGAACTGGTGCTTTGCCAAACCGGACGCGGTTTCGGATATGGATAACGTCGGCTTGGATAAGTTGGTGGAAGAAGAATACAAGCAGATGTACGTTTCGAGGGCAAGAGCCATAGCTAACCTCTACGTAGGGTTTGAACTGTAGTGTTATTATTATCACTCATTTCCGTTTGAAATGTGACATATTGTAAAACAATATTTAATTAAAAAATGTTCAAAAATCTAAAAGCGAAACTGAAATCTGTCGAATTGACGAACAGTTAGCAGTCCTGTCGGCTGGTTGGTTGATTGGTTGAACGCCGCAAGTTCTTATTGGTACAAAGCGAGGTTTTAAACCACTTACTTATCGGCATATTGAATATCGGTTTTATTTTAGGCTTCTATAAGGTATATCCTCTATTGTCAGATTATAACAAAGCAATTTCCGTCACTGAAGTACATTCTTCCCAGAAACGAAAGTTTGTAGTTAATGTCCATTACAAGGTATGTAGAATGTGCTGTTGTTGTTTGCGAAGTCTCTCAGTCGTTATTATTATTTTTTATTTTACAACCCTGTATCGTAATAAGATGATGAAAACGAAATCTTACAGATCTGTTTATGTAGAAGTCAGTGTCGTACCCAGATTTTTTGTAAGAGATATAATTTTTAAGATTCTAGGCAATATTTACGTAGGCGATTTTTTTTGTTGATGAGCTTTTTGAAAATATACTTGTCTTCCACCTGCATTTTATTCTATATTATTATTGCTACTGTTATTGTTATTAATATTTTATAACACAAAATGCAAATAGAATGGTGAAAGGTATTTCAGGCGTAATTTACTACTTTTTCTTTAAGCACTTGGTTAGTGAAGTGATCTTGGAGGTTTTGGAATATTAGCGCACGCGGAATACCTTAAAAACTACTTAAAAGTTGTCTTAGGGATAGAACACAGACAACAACAATTAATAATGCTAGTAAATTAAAAAAAACATTTGTTATGGCTTCTCCCAGGGATTCGTATAAGGGCCAATATTATTCAACCATAGATAAAGAATTTATACCATGTAAACACACCAGGGACCATTCTTGGTTTTGCAAACGACCTAGTTTTCCTATACGAAGGTGATTCTTGGGATAATCTTAACATCAAAGATGACAATCACTTAGGCTGATTTAAACAGATATCATTAACGGCGAATGAAGAAAAAACTGTTTTTATGCCATTTTCTTGAAATAAATGGGGTTTGCGAAATTTTCATTATTTTTTTGAGCCACAGGATTATGCCTTTACCTTGCCTCTTCGTTTATTTCTAAGATACACTTATAGTCTGTTAATAGATGTAAGAAAGTGACCAATTGCTTTTGAATCCAATTATGGTCATTAACATATAATGCAACAAGATTATTACCTAAAGTTTGGGAATTTAAATTCAGGTAAAATTGTGGTACGTAATAGAAAATAATTTTATACCTACCTGTGTTTAATATTCTTTCATTCATTCTTATTTCGTGTGTTATACAGAGGGTGCGTTGAGTCTAGTGTATCTCAGGAGATGCTCCCTCCCAAATGTAGAAAACACTATTCTATTGAGACTAAGGAAGTTATAAACAATGTTTATTTGACTCTCATTGAACGTGGTGCCAGCAAGCAAGCATCTTTAGAAGAAACGGCCACATTGACGAAAATTCCAACATCAACTGTATGGAAAATTGTGAATAATCCCGTTTCAGCGAGGAAAAAAAGAAGCGATGCTGACATTTTCTCGAGTGTAGATGAAAGTGATCAAGAAATAATACGGCTTAAAATTTACCAGGTATACGGGAAACAAAGCGTGCCTACATTAGATATCTTAATTAGGAGGCTTGAAAAAGATACAACCGGTGTTAAATGTGGCAGAACTACCTTATGGATGTGTATTCGACATGGGTTTTAGACTTAAAAAAATTGACAAAAGACAAGTTTTAATGAAACCTTTTAGAATTCGGAAATGGTGCCTGGAATGTCTAGAAAAAATTAGGATTTACAGAGAACAACAAAGGCCAATTATTTTTACTTGGATAAAACCTGGTTCGACACTTATAATACCCCGGAAAAGGGTGGGGTTGACTCAACTGATAAGTGTAAAACAAACGCGCCATCCAAAAGAGGTAAAAGAATAACTATTTTGCATGCTGGCTCTAAAGATGGTTGGATTCCAAATGGACTTTCTCCGTCTGCAAAAAATATTAACGATTCTTCTCTGGATTTCCATGAAGACATCACCGCTGATTTATTTAGAAGATGTTTTTCATTTATTAACATACATTAATATTCAGTGTGATGACGAAACTTTAACTTGTAAATGTTCCTTGTAAATAAAGTTTTATTTCTATTTCTTAACAGGTTATTGTGCATTAGTACAGTCACGTATACAATGTGGTATTTTGAAATAGGGAGAAGTCATTTAACAAAAAACTAGAAATTACTCTTTTGTACAAATGTTTAGAGAGTCGAAATATTTTACCAAAAGGCAATTATTTTTTACAAGACCGGTTTAAATATTTCAAAAACAATAGCGAACTACAGAATGAAAATCATCCGTATAATACAAGAAACAGAAGAAAGAAACATAAATAAGTTTAAAAAACAAATAGGCTAAGCATCTTTTCAGGACCAATGAATTAAATTATAAATTAAAATAAATTAAATCTCCAAGCACTAAATAACTTTAACAATATAAATTCATAAATAACAAGAAGGAAACAAAATATTACAAAAAAATATATTTACTAGAATAAATAACAAAAAAAGTGAGAATATCAAAAATAAAAAGACTAATATTTATATGTAAGATATATTTGTTTCCAATATCAAATTTAATATATATATATATATATATATATATATATATATATATATATATATATATATATATATATATATATATATATATATATATATATATATATATATATATATATATATAGAATCTGGGTACTGAATTGTATGTGAAAAGGTCTATAATATTCCGTTTCCATCATCTTATTACGGTACATGGCGTTTTTATACAATGGGGTAATTGAAGCGGCAAAATTTTAGGTTTTACCCTGTATCTCGATAACAAAGTCAATAATAATTGTCTTGAAACCGGTATTGACGAAAACCGCATCGCTCAGTCTGTAATAATAATAATACGCCATGTGTGAATCTATACATACATTGGGCTATTTATATATAGAGTGTCCTATTTTCTTTCAAATACTAATTGAACTTAATCACGAATATTCTGCCATGTATACACTATACAGATAAAAATTAAAGCTTACTTGTCTTTTATGGTAATGATTCGGTATCATTTACCATAGTTGAAATAACTATAGGCCTAAAGTAAGTTTACGTAAAAACCAATTTAACGCCCTTACACTAAAAATGAACAACCAACTGGCTTCTTTACATTCGGTGCACCCTGTTATTAATAATGTATCATTTGGTAAATTTGAAAATATTTTATTGTTCATTTATTTCGTTTTTTTTTGGCTTATATTTTTGCTTTATTTCCTTGCAATAAAATAATGGAAAAAGCAATTTTTTTACGGCTATTTCCGGAAAAGTGTTAACGTCGTATATATGCATAAAACTGAGTAAATGTCTCTCTTACTTTTTCATTGCGACAAGCTGTAGATTGTAGAGTATTAAGTACAATATACAGTGTGTCCGATGAAAACTGCAGAAATCTCGGAAACTGCAAAATATAGAATTAAACAGAAAACAAAAGATTAAATTGTCGTTTTAGATAATTCTTCCTGTCTTTTTACCTAGGCATTGACGTATCGAATACTATTTCGACAAGGCGTCACAATAACCCGTAAAGTCAAGCGGTAAATTGACACACTTGTTAGCACTGTATTCTAATTCTATAGAGTGTTTCAAAAATAATACGCTAACGCTCGGCTGGAGATTCGCCACCCGAAAATTCTTTGTTTCCAAAATACGGGATGTTTGATATCAAAACAAATACTGCCTGCGCGAAGATACTTAAGTCATAGGCTGTCGGTCATTTTCAACAATTTCTTTAGCGTTAATTTTATAGAACTGAGTATTTTGTTTCAAAGTGTGCAAAAAACAAATGTCCATAAAAACTTGTTTTGTCAATTTCTTTTCTCGTAAACGAGGCAAGATACGAAAAAAAAAATGCAAAAAAGTCTCATATATTAAAAAAGCCACTTCTAGGAAATATATACCAACATCTACGATACCATAATAATTTGATGAAGGTCGAATAATTATAGGATGACGCTACATTTTGAGAAAAATTACGCATAATCATTATCGACGCACTTGAAAGAAACCGACAATCCTATGGTTCGATTGGTTTATCTACCCGTCACAAAAACACAAGGAAAATTTTCACATTTGTGGCAGTTCTTTTCGTTATTTTATTTGCGTATATCAAAAGAAAAAAGAAGAATCATCTCCGAATTTGCATCTGTCGCAATTAAGATATCAGGCGTGACGGGAAAATTTTTCGATAGCCTATTGCTTTGACTCGTAAGCAAAGATAAATCGATCGTACCATAGACCCGAAAAAGCAACTTTCTCGTGGCTCGAGGATATAAACGCACTCGGTACCGTTCACCGAGAGTAATTCTGCGCGATGAGCGTCGTCTCAGAGATCGACCACTGGGTGTTCGGTGCCTTAAAAAATGAAAACGTTCGCGATATAAAAACAACAGTGGTGGGCGGGTCGGTCAGTGGCGACGGGTATACCGGAACAATAGTCTTCGTCGACGTCACGGCGGTGGCAGACAACGATGAAGTTCGCGAGTACAGTTTGGCAATTAAAATCGCCAAACGACCGCCGACTGAGGCAGAACTGTTTCATGTCGCCTACGTCAGAGAAATGTTCGTCTACGACGAAATCCTGACGTCGTTCCTCACTTTGCTACGAGCTACGGTCGATTTCATGCCCCGATGTTGGACTACGGCGTCTACGGACACTTGTGACGTCATAGTGTTCGACAATTTAAAGAAGCAGGGCTACGAGCTACACGACAAAATGAAATCGATGAACGTGAACCACATCAGACTCGCGATGAAAGCTTACGCGCGTTGGCACGGCATGTCTTTGGCGCTGAGATATCTTCATCCGGAGACGTTCCGAAAGATCGAAGACACACTCAGCGACGAAGGTTTCCTGAAAACGATAGAGGGGGTTTGGAGGAACGGCAAGTTCGACAAAGTCGTCTCGTTTTCGAGAGATAGATGGGTCAAGGTGCTTGAGGACGATCCAGATTTGTTAGGGAAACTCCAAGAGAAATTGGGCAGTCAACCCGTACATGTTGCTGATTACATCTTCGACCCTCCGGTTAAGAATCAGACGGTGGTCAATCACGGCGATTGCTGGAACAACAATTTTTTGTTTAAATACGGGGTAAGATTTACCGTGACATGTTGAAAACGGTAATTCCTTCATAATAATCATAATAATAATAATAAATCGACTTTATTTCAAAGCATTACATCAAAATAGTGTCATTTACATAATTCATAAAAAATGTAACTAAAAACACTTAAAAATTAAGGGAGGGATGCAAAAGTAATATCAGTTTTTTTTTAATTTCCAAGTTTCTGTTCTGCAATCTAATCTATAGTTGAGATAAAGACGTTTTATAAGAGAACAATTGAAGCAGACGAAGGAAAATAATGCAAAAATAAGAAAACGGCCTTTAACTAACGGGCCCACTAAATTTTCTACAATTTTAGGGTCAAGATAAGGAGAACCCTTTGAAGATAGCCATGCTGGACTTTCAAATCGCCGTCTTACACTCCCCGGTAAGGGATCTAACGCACTTCTTATACAGCTGCGCAAGCGAACATGAGCTGTCGCACATGAAGGAATTCATCGACCTGTACTACGAGTCGATGTCTGATCTTCTGAGGCAACTGGGATGCGATCCCGACGAAGTCTTTCCACGCTCTTGGTTGGCGGATCATTGGCGAAAATATTCGCGCTACAGCTTTGTGATGGGTAACTTGGTCATTAACTTGTGTTTCGGCAAAGCGGAAGTGTTCGATGATTTGAGTGAAATGGACTTGTCGTGCCTGTTAGTCGAAGAGAACGAGGCAGCATGCGCGGCTAGGATCCGTGCTTTGGCTAGGCACTTCGTGGAGTTTGAACTGTAGAGTCCTATGCGCGTTATTGTAAATAAATAAAGTTTTTTCGGTTTTTTGACTATGAAGTGTTTTTTAATACTAAAACCCAATATATAGATTAACCAAAACTGGTCACAAGTAACATATTAACGTGGAGCGAATGCTTGTAAATTGAGAGGTATATCAATATTTATCTATATGGTTTGGCCTGACCCGTCAGAACGCAGAAAAGTCAAAACACCGCTATTGAAGTCTACCGAAAATATCCGCCCTACAAGAGAAAGAGAATTTCTTTTTTTAACAATTGAATTGCTGATGCTTGGTAACTTGATAACTTGGAAAAACTTACAGTGTATGTGTAATATATGGAACCGCTACGTCGATGATACTTTTGTTATTAGGCCTCATGGAAAAAATCTTTCATATATTTTCTCAGCCATTTAATCTCTATACACCCCAACATACGTTTTACCATTGAATTGGAAACTAATTCATTCATTCATTCTGAGATATTCTAAAAGAAATTCAGGCCGAAGGTTTTGTCATTCATGTTTATAGAAAACATACGCATACAGACCCAGACCTAATGCATTGTAACATCACCATTCGGCTCAAAAATCATCGGTTATCAACCCTCTTGCTTACAGAGCACTGACGCTGAACCCAAAATTGAAACACCTAACATCTGCTTTTTTTTAAATACTTTCCACATGAGAACCATTAAGCGTTTTATCACAAAATACACTTCACCATCGAAAGAAACCCCACACTTGCTACTGCAGTCTTTCTTTATATTCGGAACATCACAAAAGTTCTTACCCAGTGTGCAAAAATCTTCGATTCTTCAAAGCAAAATTTACGGCATTCGTAGTAGTCGAACATGATCAGGAAGCCCAATCAAAAATCAAAGTAAAATTCTTGCATGTAATCAATCCTTGTACCACAGAAAAATCGGAGAAACAAGCAATCCTCACAGCGACTCAGAGCTTTACCGTTCACTAATATGGCGAAAAGTTCGAGATTTGTAAATAGAACTTTGTGGTTAATTTTTCAAAAAAACTACTATCTATAAAACTTCTGGATTCCTCTTGCGTCGGTTCTTGTGGAGTCGAACTTGTTAACGTTTCGTCAATCATCCTGTTGGCTTCTTCAGAGGAAAAGAAACTGGCTCGCATTTAACTCTGTACCTGCTTACATATTGTTTGAAGGGGGCGGTGACAGGTAAAGATCTAAGTCGCGGTTAAAATTTTTTGTTCGTAAAAGAATTGATTACATTGGCGAAACGTTTCCTATAGGGCCTTGAAGTGAGTAACACGTAACTGTTGGAGTTGCTGGAAAAGATTAATATTTGATAACAAATATTTTACCCAAGTGTCCTAAAATAATTTAGTAAGAAATATCTTAAAACCAATTTCAAATTGCCGTACCAACTTTTTCTCCTCTAGGAGTGGGCTATTTTTAATTTTTAAAAACAGACATCATCCATGAAATGTAAAACACTTTGTTTTTCAGGTCGTCCAAAGCCAACGAAAACTGAAAAAAAAATACACGCCCATATTTAGAAATCGAGATTGACGATGTTTCTCGGAAACGAAACGCCGTGGGTAACGTCTAAGAAAAACATTCTTAAATTGGTTCCTAAGAATGACCGCTTTGTCGATATTTAAATTTGGGCGAATCACATTGCACTTCCGAAGCTAGCAGAAATTTGAGAACGGCGAAAATTAATCACCTCACTCATTATGGTTTATTATGTTATTATTATTCATACATTAATAATTATTATTAATATATTATATACATATAGTTTTTCCACATTATTTTTATTATCCGTCATGCCTAGCTTCAGCATTGACGGCAATGAAATGAATAAGATAATACACCTATAAAACATTTCTTGATGTCTGATAACTGATAATGCATTAAGGAGAGGTAATTGCTCTTTATCCTGTATTCAAAGATAAAATTGACTTGTCCGGAAGCAGTGTCATTTACGAAATTAAATGTAACGATTTTAATCTAAATTACGTAGAGCAAACAAAATGTTCAATCAATGTTTGTGTTTAAACACATGTGGAAAAATTAAGATATGGGAGATCGAGTATAGGCTGACATGTTTCAGCTTAGATTAATTTGACTATGCTAACTTGAACAACGAAACTGGTACTATTAATTGTTTAATATCATGAAATACTCATTGTAGTTATTACTATAATTCAAACTAATTTAGTTGAGTTATACGACAATTTCAAAAATTAATTATATTATAATTTACTGTGACTGTTCCGAAAAATGTGTCCGCCCTGTAGATGATCTCATTTACCTCTCAGCAGTGAGCACCAGGAATGTACGTACGTGCAAGCACCAACCTTCAGTGTGTAATCGCTCGTTGACCTAGCGTTGACCTGTAATGATCAAAACGAGTGTGCGGAATATTATCACCACCACCACCCCCACGCTTCTAATTTATTGGATAGGATCAAGTACTTTGTAGACGCGTAAGCCCTATAGATCATCTGTTTTAGCTCTCGACTGTGGGTATATATAATGTATTCGCAATCACCAGCGTTCAGTGCATAATCGCCCTTCATTGGGATCGACATGAGTGAGCAGAATATTGTCAGCAACGAAAACATTTATACGTGGCTCCAAAACGCGTTGAGAAATGAACGTCTTCAAGACATAAATTTTCTGATATGCGACCGGAACAAACCCGGAGATGGTTATGCCAGCGACATCGTCTATGTGGATGTAGAGGCTACGAAATATGACGGTGACCCTCGAAGGTACCACTTTGCTATGAAAGTGACCAAAGAATTGAAAGGAGTCTTCAAGGATTTCGTAGAAGGGAACAACTTGTTCGAAAAGGAAGCTTGCGTCTATACCAAACTGGCTCCAGCGTACCAGAAACTGCTTTACACTTACCACTTCCCGCCGATAGACTTCATGTCCAAATGCTACTGGGCTAAGACTGGCGAAGACTACGACGTGCTGGTATTCGACAACCTTAAGAAAGCAGGATACAGGCTCCACCAAAGTGACATTCCGATGGACGACCGCCACATCAAGCTAGTACTGAGAGCGTACGCGAGATGGCACTGGTTGTCGTTCGCTTTAAGGTACCACCACAAGGCAGAGTTCAAGATTGTGGTCGACGAGCTGGCCGGTTACGAGAAGAAAGTGGAAAACAATATGGAAAGATTCAAGGACGTGTTCGAGAAATTTTGCGAAGATCAGTACCAAGTCTTGGAGGAACACGGAGAGCACGAGCTGCTGGAAAGGTACAAGGAGAAGATGAAGAATAGGGCGCCCGGAAAGTGGAACGAACCTGAGCCATGCGAGGAAGAGTGCGTCGTCATCCATGGCGACTGCTGGAATAACAATTTTCTATTTTTTTATGAGGTATGTCCCGGAGTTGTAAAAACGAAACTGATGATTATTTACTTTCTTATTTAAGAACATATGCAACTCCTGTAACTAGTGTACTCGATAAGGATTTTGGAAATGTCTTCTAGTGTAGAGTATGTTAATAGTTCGTTTCTTTGATTTTAGGCAGACCAAATTCAGGATCCTTCCAAAGTGTGCCTCGTGGACTTCCAGGTATCCAAGTTGCAGTCGCCGGCTAGAGATATTAGCTATTTTATATACTCCACTTGCTCGGAAACCGGACTGAAACGCTTCAAAGATTACATCCAGTTTTATTACGGTGCATTTGCTCGAGACCTAAAAGCGTTGGGGTGCGATCCCGAGCTCTTGTTTCCTTTCTCGAAATTCGTGGACCATTGGAGACAGTACTCTTTCGATGGGTTTCAAACCGGAGTCGGGATATTGAAACTTTGCTTGTCGGATAACAAAGGTGTAGGCGATGATGGTTCCGTCGATACGTTTGATTGGAAAATCGAAAAAAATAAACACCAATATGAAGCACGGCTTATCGCGTGTATCAGGCACTGCGTCGAATACCAGTTGGAGTAACGAGAATTTATGTTTTTATCTCACTGCGTATCGGCGAATGATTTAGTTTGCAATTAGTTATAAATTTGTGGCGATCTGCTTTCAAATGTTTTCGTCAGCGCTGAAGGTTTAATAATTTCTATAATTAATAATTAATTAGTTAATAAATGTATATTTAATAAATTTACATGCATTTTCGAGATCCGGTTATTTTCTCCGCTGGACGCTTCTTTAAAATTAATCAAACTAATAAAAAAATGTTTGCTAAAGGTACACATTTTTGAGCACCTTTGAGTCGTGTCTCATTTCTCTTTAAACCAGTAATACTCTAGCTGTTTTGAAAGAACGTTTTTTAGAGATAATAATTTATGAGTAAGCTACACCTACGAAAAAAAGTTAGATATTTCGAAGAAATTTAAGAAAAATAGCAAGAAGAAAGCTTTTCATTTCCCACCAAAAGCGCAAGAAACAATTGTATTTTACAAAAGAATATGTTCCAAAACCAATGGAGTTTTGGGAATATGTGAATATTCAGTGACGAAACAAAAATTAATATTTTTTGATACGATAAGGCAACGACACTGCATACCCCTACTCAGATATTAACCTAATGAAAAGTGTTAAAGCGGCACCAAAAACTCAGTTTTTAGCTAAGGCCCAGGCCACAGAACAATTGAAAAAATATTTCAATATTTTAATTTGAAGTAACCACAAAACTCGTTGGTAATATGTTGATTAGGCTCACAGCTATAATAAAACAGCCACAAAATATTAAACTTTTGAAAGAGATTTTACAAACACAAATTATTCATTGCAATAATTTAAATGTATGGAGATTTTTTTCATACCGTTTTTCAGATTTTTCATAAAATGTTGATGTTTTGCGTCAACTTTTTCAAACACCCTATATAAGTGGCCTTGACTAGATCGCGCTAAGTACATCAATCTCTGATTATTCGAGTCATACAAAAGTGAATTTTCCCAATTAAATAGTTAAACGCTGCGCATTTCGCTTTAGTTATCGAAATGGGCTCCGAAAATTGCAACGTCGACGACAAGGTCAGCGCGTGGGTGCACGACGCTCTATCAAACGAAGACGTGGAAGACGTAAGCTTCGAGATATCCGATAGAAACAAACCAGGCGATGGTTATATCAGTGACATCGTCTACGTGGACGTAGACGCCAAGCGTTCCATCACGGAGGAGACATGCAGGTACCACTTTGCCGTCAAAATGACGAAAGAGAAGAAAGGGATCTTCAATGATTTTATATCGGGCACCGAGCTATTTAAAACTGAGATTTGTGTGTATTCTAAACTCGTACCAGCATATCAGCAGCTATTATCTACCAGCGCCCTACAGTCGATAGACTTCATGCCCAAATGCTACTGGTCGACAACAGGGGACCCATACGATGTACTGGTCTTCGACAATTTGAAAAAATCTGGCTACAGCCTGCACCAGAGAGACGTGCCGATGAATGATCGCCACATTGAACTGGTTCTCAAAGCTTATGGGCGATGGCACGCGTTGTCGTTCGCCTTAAGACACCGCGACAGCGAAACGTTCGACATGATCACCAAAGAATTGGAAACATATCAGAATGAAGCCATCAAGAAGGAAGTGGACGAGGAGAAATTCAAGCCGTTGATTGAGAAAATGATAGCGGAACGCGACGAGATTTTCATACGCCACAACGAGCAGGAGTTGTTGGAGAAGTTTAAGGAGCGAACAAAACATGTGGTGCCTGGTAAATGGGATGAAACATTTCCGGAGAGGGACGAATGCGTTCTAGTGCACGGCGATTCCTCTAACAACAACTTCCTCTTTGTGTACAAGGTAAGTAACCTGTTAAACATCAAAGTGAGCCCACATGTATCGAGCATTTGGGCCTGTTTAAGGGGAACGACGTTGAAAACCCCGCCAAAGTGTCGCTGGTAGATTTCCAGCTGTCCAAATTAACGTCGCCGGTGAGAGATCTGAGCTACTTCTTCTATGCCGCCTGCTCAGAAAATGAACTTAAGAAATTTAGGAAATACACGCAGCTATACTATGAGGAGTTCGCGAGCATTCTGAGGAAACTGGGTAGCGATCCAAACGAAGTTTTTCCATTTTCCAAACTTGCTGACCATTGGAAGGAGTACTCATTGTACGGCTTCCAGATGGGGATGGGAGTGTTGAAATTGTGTTTGTCAGATGATAAAGGGGTCGGGGACGAAGGAAGCGTCGAATCGTTCGATTGGAAGCTTGTGAAGAACAAAGATCAGTACGAGTCGCGGCTTATCGCGTGTACCAGGCATTGGATAGAGTATGAATTTTAGTATCTGGAGTGATTGTGACGCTACAAGCACGATCACCCGGTATATAAGCATCGCGGTTCTGGATTAGAGAGGAATATCCTGTTGCGTTTTAAAATACACCTTCTTTGTGATAGTTAAATTTTGTTGATTTTTTTTATTGCAAAACATTGTCAAGTTGATAGCAAAACAAACACACTATATTTCTTTTGTAATAAATGTCTAATATTAATTTTCCAAAAATGTAAAAGGTAGGTGGGAATTAATTGATGCAAAAAATGATCGGAAAGTTGCAGTGGACGTAAACTGCAATAATATACAGGACGTCCCCATTAAAATATCAAAGTTGTAGCTCCTTTTAATAAATGTAATTCAAAATTCGATACGTTGAACATTTTGCTTGTCCGCATTTAATTTCATTGATGCTCCTCCTCCCCCAGTAGCCAATAATATCTTTCGGATTTCCCAGTAGGTGTTTTGAAAACTACTTTTAAATTTATATAGTACTTTATCGCACCATGGTGCTAAACGCTTCTATTGTTGCAGTTAAATCTAGGATACGATACGATTATTATTTCATTATGCCTATGCCTATTGATACGGAGGGAATTATTATTATTATTATTATTGCATTATGTCTATGCCTATTGATACGAGGGAATTATCATTATTATTATTATTATTTTATTATGTTTATGCCTATTGATTAAAACGGGATAACAAAATGAAAAGAAATTAATATTAGATGTTTTTCCAGAAATACTATTAGATTTTATCTACAGCGAAGCTTTGATTTTGTGAAGGATTTAAGTGGAGATGGAAATGGAAATGGAAAATACTAAAAACTCACCTAAATCATCTAAACTGAATCTAACACATGGTTTTCATTTGTAAAAGCAGTCAAAAATTTAAGAAAAATAGACACTTGAGTATAAAAGTTCACTACTTCCACATCCACCTAGGTCGGTTTCCAGAAAACTTAGTTGATTGTAGAGAAGAACAGGGGCAAAGATTCTACGAGGACACTAAAACTATAAAAGATCTTTATCAAGGCCGACAGAATAGGCACATGATGGCCGATTACTGTTGGAACCTTCAGCGAGATTGCCCTAGTAAACTCTATTCTAGGAAGTCGTATAAAAGCAAATTTTTAAATGATAAGCTGATGGAAATGGAATGGAAATCTTTAATTTTACTGTCAATAGCAAATTAACAGTTATAACGTACCAGTTGGAAAATCGCAGGCACCAAAATGTCTGTTGGTATGTGTAACAATATTTTCTTTATTTTAAGTAATATAATGGTAACCAAAAAAATCCATGGCTATTTAAGTATACAATTTTAGTATAAAAAACAGCAAATACATCGTTAATTTCAAAGGTAACATTGAATTGATGTACGATAAATGTCTATTTTGAAGAACATACGGCATATTTAAGAAAATTGGTTAGGTTAGCTTGCCCCTTATTTGGTTGACGAAATAAGCGCCCAGAACGTCATATATGCCTTATAGTTGAAGCTGGCATTTTATCGGTACCAATAACTGTTTGCTTTCAAAAAAACTCAGTAATTTGTAGAAAACACTCCAACTAGTTTCTTTAGTAAAATTTGAAAATTACATGAGATTCACTTTACGGTAGTAGTCTCAATACCAAATCACCACGTCGAACGTGTACAGTTAAAATCTATAGATCGTTAGTTAACAACGTCCGCCCTGTAGATAACCTCATTTACCTTCCGATTATGGGTATTCGGAATGTACGTGTAGAAATCAACGTTCAGTGCGTAATCGTTTGTTGACCTAGCAATATCTTGTTGCGATCAAAATGAGTGCGCGGAACGTCGTCAGCGACGAAAACATCCACACCTGGCTCCAAAACGCGTTGGAAAACGAACTTGTCCAAGACATAAACTTCCTGATATGCGACCGGAACAAACCCGGAGACGGTTACGTCAGCGATATAGTCTACATTGACGTAGACGCGACGAAATATAACGGCGAACCCTGTCAGTACCGCCTCGCTACAAAAGTGTCCAAGGAACAAAAAGGAATCTTTAAGGATTTCGTAGAAGGGAGCAACTTGTTCCAAAGAGAAGCCTGCATCTACACCAAACTAGTTCCGAAATACCAGAAGTTGCTTTTGGCTCATCAACTCCATCCGATAGACTTCATGCCCAAATGCTACTGGACCAAGACCGGCGATGACTACGACGTATTGGTGTTCGATAACCTTAAGAAAGCAGGATACAGGCTCCACCAAAGTGACATCCCCATGGACGATCGCCACATCAAGCTAGTTCTGAGAGCTTACGCGAGATGGCACGCGTTGTCGTTCGCTTTAAGGGAGCATCACGGTGAAGAGTTCAAAGCTGTCGTCGACGAGCTGGCCGGATACGAGAAGAAAATTGAGAACAAACCAATCAATATGGAAAAATTCAAGGAAGTTTTCGGGAAAATTTTTGATGAGCGCTATCAAATCCTTGAGACGCATGGGGAGCACGAGCTACTGGAAAGATACAAGGAGAAGATGAAGGACAGGGTTCCTGGAAAGTGGAATGAATCTGCGCCATGCGAGGAAGAGTGCGTTATCACTCATGGCGACTGCTGGAATAACAATTTTTTATTTTTTTATGAGGTAAGTTCCTTGGTCGATTTGAGCATGGTTTTAAATACTATCAACATCGGAGCTGATTTGTTTACTGAAGATTTAAGGATCATATGAAGCTGATTTATTATCAGAAAAGTGTTTTTTTTTAACCTTATCTTTTCCAATCTTTGTATTCCCCCGAAACTAATGAATTAATGTTTGTAGAAGTTTCTCCTAGTAATAGCTCCATTCTTTGATTTTAGGAAAACCTAATTCCGTCAAAAGTGTGCCTCCTGGATTTCCAGATATCCAAGTTGCATTCGCCGGCTAGAGATATTAGCTATTTTATATACTCCACTTGCTCGGAAACCGAATTGAAACGCTTCAAAGAATACATCCAGTTTTATTACGGTGCATTTGCTCGAGACCTAAAAGCGTTGGGGTGCGATCCCGAGCTCTTATTTCCTTTTTCGAAGCTCGTGGACCATTGGAGACAGTACTCTTTCGATGGGTTTCAAACAGGAGTGGGGATATTGAAACTATGCTTGTCGGATGACAAAGGTGTAGGCGACGATGGTTCCGTCGATTCGTTTGATTGGAAAATCGAAAAAAATAAGCACCAATATGAAGCACGGCTTATCGCGTGTATTAGACACTGCGTGGAATATCAGTTGGAGTGACGCGAGTTTATATTTTTATCTCACTCTGTATCGACGAGCCAGTGATTCAGTTGAATTAGTCGTAAATTTGCCGCGATAAACATTTTTCCGTCGGTACTGCAATTATTTAATTCACCAGTCCAAATGTCAAACTTACTGAATTAATAAAGTTACATGTTTTTTTCGAGATCCACTTATCTGCAGTGTATTTTAGTCGGTACCAACTGAGTTTGGTTGGACTAACTAAAAATATTTTTGATCTGCTTCATAGACCGCGTCCAATTTTCGACTCTTTTGCGGAATATCTTACTTATCTAGATAGAACGATAGCAAAAACAAAATTTCCCCCTGAATCTTCTCTCAACCCAACATAACCTCACTATTTACGATTTTGACATTTTTAACGTAATATACTAGCGCTAGTCTATTAATCGCATTCATAAATAATTATATAACGGAGATTTGTTGGCCTAACCTTTGTATTTATTTTTTTTAATGACGTTTTATGCAAATAAAAGATAAACGAGGCGATATATATCTGTAGCTTAACTTACCCAATTTAACCTGAAAATTTTCAAAAAAAGTTCATTATCAGTGATGACTTGTAATAAGTTTGACATTGCCTGAAAAATAAAATGAATGTAAAGTAATTTAAAAAGAACTAAGAAATTTTCTTGCCGCCACACATTCGTATCGCGTTTTTTTATACGCCAGGGCCAAGCCAGTGATCAATTTTGAACTTTTACAAATATAGTAAGACCCAAAAACTGTTTAATGGACATGAATATATTTATTCTGAAATGTCACATTAATATTTAATGGCAGACTGTGGAAATCTTTGATTTTCAAAAAAACATACATATTTTTAAAAAAATTCGTTAGAAAATAATATTTTCAATTAACAACAAATTTACAAAAAAAAAAAAATTGCAACTAATTTTAGTGCAACTTGCTCCGATATATAAGGTATAACTATTACTCATAATTCGATTACCTCAATCAAAGGTTACGCGAATATATAATGTTCTCATGTTTTTCTTCCATTTTCTACAACACCGTATATAAGCGACCTATGGCCTTGATTAGATTGCGCTAAGCATATCAATCTCTGATTAGTTAAGTGACACAAACGTGAATTTTCTCAATTAAATAGTTAGCGCATTGCGCCGTAGATATCGAAATGGGCTCCGAAAATTGCAACGTCGACGACAGGGTTGGCGCCTGGGTGCACTGCGCTCTATCAGATGAAGATGTGGAAGACGTAAGCTTGCAGATTTCTGATAAGAGCAAACCAGGCGACGGTTACATCAGCGATATCGTCTACGTGGATGTAGAAGCCAAGAGATCCTCCACTAAGGAGGCCTGCAGGTACCACTTGGCGGTAAAAATGACGAAAGAGAAGAAAGGGATCATTCAAGATTTTATATCGGGCACCGAGCTCTTTAAGGCTGAAATATGCGTGTATTCCAAACTGGTGCCTGCATATCAGCAGCTGTTATCTACCAGCGCCCTTGAACCGATCGACTTTATGCCCAAATGCTACTGGTCGACAACAGGTGACCAATACGATGTGCTGGTCTTTGACAATTTGAAAAAATCAGGGTACAGTCTGCACCAAAGAGACGTGCCGATGAATGATCGCCATATTGAACTAGTACTCAAAGCTTACGGGCGATGGCACGCGTTGTCGTTCGCTTTGAGGCATCGCGACCTCGAAACCTTCGACATGATCAACAAAGAATTGGAAACATACCACAAAAAAATGCAGAAAGAGGGGGTGGATGAGGAGACGTACAAGCCAATGTTTGAGAAAATGATAGCTGAACGTGACGAGATTTTCATGCGTCACACCGAGCAGGAGTTGCTGGATAAGTTTAAGGAGAAAACGAAGCATCTGGTGCCTGGCAAATGGCACGAAATATTTCCGAACAAAGATGAGTGCGTTTTGGTGCACGGTGATTGTTGGAACAACAACTTCCTATTTGTGTACAAGGTTAGTAAGCTGGAAAGAGATAGGAACTTTACGTATTCATTCAGACCTTGTGACCGTTTCAGGGAACAGACGCTGAAAACCCCTCCAAAGTGTCGCTGGTAGATTTCCAGCTGTCCAAATTAACGTCACCGGTGATAGATCTGAGCTATTTCCTCTATTCCGTCTGCTCAGGAAATGAACTGATCAATTTCAGATATTACATTCAGCTGTACTATGAGGAGTTCGCGAGCAGTCTGAAAAAACTGGGCAACGATCCAGACGAAGTCTTTCCATTTTCTAAACTGACGGATCATTGGAAAGAGTACGCTTTGTACGGTTTCCAGATTGGGATGGGGGTAATGAAACTGTGTTTGTCGGACGACAAAGGGGTCGGGGACGAGGGAAGCGTCGAGTCGTTCGATTGGAAGCTAGTAAAGAACAAAGATCAGTATGAGTCGAGGCTTATCGAGTGTACCAGGCATTTGATAGAATACGAACTTTAGTCACAGTGGCGATTGTGATGCTTTCAGAAGCAATTTTTTTTTTTAAATTGGATTTCAATGCGACGCCAAAAGCACGATCACTCGCGCTCCGATCTAGATCAGGCGTTCTCTGAATCCAATTTTATCTGAAACAAATAATTTGTTGCGACCTTGGGAAGCCACGCGTATCATTTCGTTCGTTCTAAACCACCTGTATTTATGCACTGCGTTTAATTTTGTTGATACTACGTAATAAAAAGGATTGAAAATTGTTCCAGTAAACAAGACGGAAATTAAAAATTAAATAAAATTTTGAAGCTTATTCACAATTCGGTTCCTTTCTTATGCCTTGAACGCCACGTTTCCAATCACCAGGCAACCTTACGTTACAAATACACACTCCCGATTCGAACCGTCCTTTTCCATTCAATTAAATTATATCGAAGCGGGAGAAGGAGAGGGAGAGAGAGAGAGGGGGTGAGCAACAAAAACGCCGAAGACAAACGCTGAAATTAAAAGCAAAGTCGGACGGTGTGTCGTGACTATTTCCAATGATATCTGATATACGTCGAGCCGATGTTTGAATTAAATTCTGTATAAATTTGATCGCAGATAACGACTTTCGAATTTGACAGGTAAATGTATGGGCGGTTGACGGGGGGGTCGGTGTGTGTTTTTCGATCAATCCCGTTCGATGCCATGCATATTAAATAGGGTTTATTATTACCCGAGCGTGCAAAGACCATCCCCAAGGAAAAAAGTTCCCATTATAACATCGTCGTCTCTTTGATTTCCAATTTTTTCCCGTTTGACATCACAAAGCGCCATGCTCAGACGTTTATCAAGGCATTTTGCTTGTCGTTTGTCTTATCCCTCGCGTAAAATATTTGAAAAATTGATTATACGCGATGTATTTCACGTCCTGTTTAGGGCCCCTTTGATGTCCCGTTTTTCTTTCATCGAAGTTTAATACGTTCGCAGAGTCTTTTGCGTCGTGTGCGTTCGGGAAGACACAAAAAAGAAGCGAAAGTCATCAGCAAAAAAGATACCGCGTATCGAAAAAAGAAAAACTTTCTAAAAAAATCAACTAACCAAAACCAAAATTTATTCTGGAAGTAAAAATATATTATATAGAAGTGGTAAGAGCGAGATAGAATTGAAGTTCTAGAATTAGAAAGTGCTAAATTCTAGGGTAAAGCTATTTCTATGATTTTGAAATACGCGTCATAGAACTGGTAAAGTTATGTTAAAGTATGCAGGAGGAAATAGCTCCGATGTAGTTATGGAATTCTAGAAGGCAAATCAAAATTTTCAGAGTTCCCGGTCCCTAAACAATTATCTAAATGTGAGTCATTAAGCTTTGTTCGGTATTTTCATTTCAAATATTTCATATTTGAGGACAAAACTCGCAATTGCATGTTGTTGCACAACATGAATAAATTTTTAGAGCACATTTCCTTAAGTTGGGATACTTATTTTGATCGGCTAAGTTCCAAAACATTTTCTCATTTCTAAGTGCTTTTAAAATAACATCACTATAGTAAATACGCGTCGAAAACGAATTGATTTTGGGCATAACATTTCATGATGTATGAGGAAGTGGTAAGAATTAAATTTCGCGAATAAGGAATCCCGTCTACATGAGGCAATAAATCCTTTTTTCTTACCAGTCATCGCTGGTGTCCAGTCGGTTGTAATTGACGATAACTTTTGTACAGGTAATTTTACATCTGTTTTAAACTTTTTAAAAGTAGAAAAGATATATTCTCCTCTGGTGTTTCCCTTAAAGCAATTCTTCTTTTGATATCTTAATTAGGGGGCTTGAAAAAGATGAAACCGGTGTTAAATGTAGCAGAACTACCTTATGGAAGTGTATTCAATTTAGATTTAAAACAATTGACAAAAGGCAAGTTTTAATAGAATCTTTTAGAATTCGGAAATGGCGACTGGAATATCTAGAAAAAAAATAGGATTTACAGAGAACAACAAAGGCCTATGATTTACTTGGATGAAACCTGGTTCGACACTTATGGTACCCCAGTTGTTTCAACTAATAAGTGTAAAACAAACGCGCCATCAAAAAGAGGTGAAAGAATAAATATTTTGCATGCTGGCTCTAAAGATGAAAGGAAAGAATTATTTTGGATTACTTGGTAGTTTTAAAAGCACGGTGTACGCGTCGTCTATTCGAAATACGAGCACACTCTAACAAAAAATACGTGCGTGTTATTAGGTACGCTGAAGGTTGGCAAACTGCTAATCTATGCACAATCCTAAAACTATTCCTAGATACTTCAGCTTTGCGACACTAAAGAGAAAATCTTACTGTTTCCGTCATTATTATCAAAGGAGAAACTGAGTCTTGGAACTATGTGGACCCGCCAGCAAACGATTTAATAAAGATTTACACGACCCGGAAGTAAGTAGGAAACCTTCATTTGCCTGGTGTACTTAGGTGTCTCGCGTCTTGAACCGACGTGGTCCATTAGACGTGGAAAAGGAATTCGCTGAGCACGTAGCTCTCAAATGCACACTCGAGAACACAAACGGATATACAGGGCATTATGCATTAGACGAATCGAAACTCCGGTGTCGAAAAAGGGTTCTGCTACCGGTTCCCTAATATCCATTAGAGAGCGCTCGCGACATTCGCGAAGGCCTAAACTTTACACATTCCGTTTAAGAATTCGTAAGTCACCATTAACAAAACGCTAACGACGTTAACGTCGCCGAGAGAACGTAGAGAGCGCGTTGTTCAAATTATCATACGCGTACGTCGCTTCGTGGGATGACGATGAACAAATGCCAATCGTAACCTCGAAGATGGAGAGAATTTATTTCATTATACGTTTTTTTTCCTCGACAACAATGTGACGGAAATTGGGATCTGAGTGGGAAGTTGCGTTCACCTTTCGGAATTTAAAATCGTCGTAAAACGTTCACCGTTTCAACGAGTCGCTAATGTGACGGGGACGACATTATCGTGCGCTGATGATTTCGGGAAGAGCTCCGTTAGAACATAGTGTCATTTTAATTAAGAATAAAGACGTTTATGACGATTCCGAATTGCCGTGAGCTCGGATGTGATGTTCCCCGCCCATCTCCAAGACACCTGGCGAAGTTAAAAACTACAACGATGAGTTTAGGGGGGTCGAAATTTAAATAAATCGCGTCGATTTGCGGGACTCCGGCATGTGTCACCTCGTCACTCCCGATTTTGTTGGCTGCGAAAGTCCGTCTTGCCCATTTAATTTGGTTAATTAATCTAAACGTTTGTGTCACGCGGTCGAAATAATAAAAATCTGTCCGGTCAGATTGGGGGCTAATTACCTAATAAAAAGCTATTTGGTTTATTAAAAATTCACGCGTTTGTCGACGAGGTTGGGCCCCGGTATGCTCTGGGGTGACATATAACTTATAAGACAAATTTTTCGCTTTCGGGCGGGGGTAAATTGGACCGTGCGATCGGACGTTGGTTTGGTTCGAACAATGCCGTCTATAATAATTTTTACAAAACTTCTGGATTCCTCCTGCGTTGGTTTTTGTTGGTCGAACTTGCTACATTTTCGCCAATCTGGTGGTTTCTTCGGAGCTTGACTGAAACTGGCTCGCATTTTACTCTGTACCTGCTTATATATTGTTTGAGGGGGCGGAGCTAAATGAGAGGCATAAACACCCTCCCATATTGGTGATAAGTAAAGACCTGAGGCGCGGTTAAGATACATCAAGTGTTTGAGTATGCTTTGTTAGAGAGATTAATGTATTTTGTAGATAAATATCATACATTTATAGATAATCAACATGACTTCGGAAAAGATAGAAGCATTTCTACTGTTGCTTTTTCGTATTGCCGTAGGATAATTTCTTTTATCGAGGACGGCGAGTTCCCGATTGGAATTTTTTGCTACCTAAGTCGGGCGTTTGACTGTTGATTTTAAGAAAGCTGGAATCCATGTTACGGAGGTTCAATGGCATTTTTCAAGGACTAATGTATGCCAGAGTGAAGTACCCTCTCAAAACATTTTATCTCTTTGTCGCTTTTGATTGGTGTTTATTCTACTGTTACGTGTTAGGGAATGTCAGATTCCAATTTGGAATGGTGGAAAACCTGGTCGAATTAGCGAGTACCGTTCGAGTTATTGTAAAAATTTGTAGCCCGTTCCCGCGGGGAACATAATTATATGGCGCATTATGAATCTGGACCCCGCCTATTCGCCGTGGGACCCAACCAACCTCGCATGAAAAATCGCTTACCACACGGATTAGCAGATAAGTTATGGTGACCGGCAGGCGATGTCCTGTCAACTCTGCCGCGGTGTCGTGCGTTTCCTCTTCGTTACACCTTCAGAGCGAGAGAGCGCGTTACGTCATCGCCCGAATTGGGCGTGTGCGATTCTTCGAAATTTATTCACCGGGTTAAGTTTAAGCGGAGATAACGCAACCAGCGTGCCTAATTAAAACCAAAACTCCGGAGACGAAACGCAAAATATCAACGCCGAAAATCTTTTAATTTTGATTTTCCTTGAAGATAGGTATCAATTATTCAATTATGCAAATGGAGGACCGCCCCCCACGTCGGGGGGTCGCGCCGAGTCCCAGCCAAGAATTTCAAACTGCGGGGGTTGCGAATATGATTCCGGATTATGGATATTTTAAATAGTACGACTGCCTCCTCCCGCCGCCCCCTAAAATGACACTTTATCCGTTGAATATTCATGTGCCGATGGGGAGGGTCGGCGGGGGCGGCTCCTGTCTTTCAACCCCTTCAACGGTAGAGCGAGGAGGCAAGCGGCGACGACTTTAAATTTCGCTTAAAGAAAATTGTTATCTCGGGTTGATATGGTTTTACATAAATGTGCCATTAAGTTAGGTGCCGATTTTGGGAAACTTTATTTTTTTTAAGAGACGAAGAGAAGAAAGTTCGGTTAAAACTTTCCATGAGTATCATGAAAAGAAAAAAGTGTGTTAAAGGAGATTTCGGCTACCAAAATGTTTAACATCAGGGATGAAAAAATAAAAAAAAATTGGTTAAAACTAACCAAAACTATTTATCTTTTAGTTATACCATGAGATTGTGTGAACTTTTTTCGCAAAAAACTTTTTCCAGTACTGTCATCCACGGTCCAAATCAGTGAAATTATATTATTTTTTGATCGGGCAATGTTCGCCGCATCCAAGAGTGCCAACTTCTGCATCATATGGTAAGTATTTCAATTTAGACCCAGTCTAATTAAGTTTGTTTTCAGGTCCGTCGGTACAACACGCATGCTGGATATGATCAATGGGACGACCTTCACTCTCTTCATGTCCCA